TCCTGGACTTTTGGTCCTGTGAAAAGAATGTCTTTGTCTGTCCCATCTTACTGCTTTGCTGCTGTAAAGTCCTACAAGCAAGCAGCATCTGTACATTTTATGGGGCAGTTGGCATCTGTAGGGGAAATTCCCAGGTCAGGTGTTTAATTGAGAACCTCGAGCTTCCTTTAGTTCTCTTGGAAAAGAGAAGTGGTTAAAGATAGAGCAGAAACGGGTGAATGGCACTAAGTCTGAGCTTCATCCTGGTTGCCCACGGTGCTACCTGATTTTTAAATAACATTATTTCTCTTGGACTGAATTCTGGGCTGGGGCAAGGGCAATTCAAGCCATTACATGAACATCCGGGAAGTAGGAAGCCCTGTGGAAATGTTCTTTTTTTCCTTTTTGCTGTTTTTTTTTATTTATTTTAGGCAACAGACATGGCCTGTTGGTCCCCAGCAGTACGACAGACCAAGAGCTTCAACATATCCGCAACAGTCTTCCCGATTCTGTACGAATTCAGCGCGTGGAGGAGCGTCTCTCAGCGCTGGGCAACGTCACTACCTGCAATGACTACGTAGCTCTTGTTCACCCAGATCTCGACAGGGTATTTGGCTCTGTAACGCTTTTAAATTCACAGCGGGTGCGCGCACAGTGGGTGCCAGGCTGCGCTTTGGGTGTGTAGTTGTTGAGGGTCACTGTCGGGGACGCAGGGATCGGGACATTTTTAAGAGCTGTGCTAACAGCTGAGCTGGTGTCACGCAGGAGGCTGTGCTGCCTCGTGTCTCCTTCCTTCTCCAGAGATTTTTGGACTTTGGATTCTGGACTCCTCATTTGATTGCCTCTTTTGCTATATTTATCTTTATTTGTGGGTTTGGGCCCTGCCCAAAGTACAGCCTGTGCCCTCCTGTTCAGCGGGCTGGAGTGAACGCTCTTTGTAGCCGGGAAGGAGTGGGATGTGGAAGTGTTGTCGGGCGCAGTTTGCTTTGCCTGTGTGAAGTGGAACAAATAACAACAGGGTGTGTGGGGGGGGGTAGTAAAGAGTGCACGAAGAAGAGTTTAGTCGGGACTACCAGCACCTGCTGAGCTCACTGAAACCTGCAGCAGCTGAGAAGGGCTGTGGATGGGGTGGGATGGGAGAAAAATGGAATGTTCTTATGTGATAAAGGGCAGAGGAGACAAAGTTGCTGCTAATTTGTGTTTGGGAGTGGTATTTCAGTGGCATTAGAGCGACGTGTTGTGTCGCTATGTGTAGCAAAGGTCCTTACAGCCTTTGCTTTCAGTTTGTGCTAAAGGTGATGAGATGGGATTGGTGTTAGGAGTGCAAAGGAAAAAGAAAAGGGGTGGGGGTAACGGGTCTGTGCGGCATATTGAGTTCTAAGTGTAAGAAGTAAGGTTAAGGTGGCTGGAGAGGGAGAATTCGAAATAATTCGCAGTGAAAAGCTGGAGAGGAAGGAAGTTTTTTAGGTAGTTATGAGTTACACAGAAGGATAGAACTTTGTCCCAGGGCTCTGGGACAGGAGAGGGGACGGCTCCATGGGGAAAGCCCAGAGACCAAGTATAGACAGGATCGCTGTCCTGCCTGTGTTCTGCAGAAGGAGGGGAGAAAAGTGTTTCTCGTTACGTAATGTCCAGTGACAGAGGCCCAGCTCAGCGTGCGCAGGTAACTGGGAGCGTCTGGAATTAGGGGTGGAGTGAGCGCGCTGCGGTGACAGGATTGCAGTGGGAGTGTGGGACGGCTTTCGGAGGGGAGGATCCCGGCCAGCGGCTGCCTGCAGGAATGGCCGCACTTCAAGTTGTGTGACA